TTCTACACACAACACTAGAGGGATGCTGTATCAGAAAAGGGCCTACCATTGGCCACTGAAAAGTGAAGAAAGCATTGGGTGTATCTATAACATATCTGCTTCCTATGCAAGCTGGAAAACATTGTAAAGCTAGAATAAATTGAAGCCATTTATTCAGTAAACATTTACTGAGTGCCTACTGTTTACAAAACCCAAGGCGAGGCAGTTGGAGGATGAATATGAGCAAGACAAGGTCCCTACCTCCTGAAAGCTCTTGGGGGAGAAGGGGCATAACGCGTAACGTGAACAGATAATTACACAGCATGGCACGTGGCTGTGGAGAAAAGGAATGTACTGTGAAAGGGTCTGCGGAAGCTTCAGCAGGATGACTGCTTTTGAGCTGAACATTGAACGTAGGAAAGAATGAGGGTGAACTTTCTAGGTGGAGGTGATTAATTGCACATGCAAACGGGAGGAAACTTGAATTAGCTCAAGCACGTGCCAAAGGCAAGAGCACCCGGGGTCTGCAGGGAAGCAGTCCCTGATGTGGTGGGTGTGGGTCCAACCAGAGCCTCTGCAAGGGCGGTGTCCACTGCAGGCTCATTTGTGCCCCCTCCCCCTATTCCATGTGGGTACTCAGCAGCAGTCACCTCACTTTTCTGTGGGGTCCGGGCTCCCTCTTCCATGCCCCTGCTCACTGTCTGTGTAACCTGTCTTCTTACATCATCCTAAGATCATCAGGTGTCCATAATGTTGTCAAGAATTTATTTTTAGAAGATTTAGAGCAATTGAGAAATAGGAAATGTGAGACTCTCTGGAGGATTGTTTTTAATGAAGGTGTGATACAGCCCTCAAACCATGCAATTAAAGAAAATCCAGCTACACCAGGTTCCCTGGGGGCCAGACCCTTAAAATCTTTGTGACAAAAAATTACTTGGGGGAAAAAATAGAATCATGCATATCCGAAGAAGCTCTTCAGATCTGAAAAACTGGAGAAATTTAAAGGCATTAACTTCTCATGAAGACTTTACTACATTAATTTGGAGTCAGCCAGAGAGCAAAATCAGCAAATATGCACCAGCTCTCTTCAGTGCCAAATAAAAGTTGTGTGTGTTTCTTCTTGAAGGCATGCGGGGCTGCTTTATTGCAGCCAAGGGCTGTGGGGCCTGGGTTTCTTTATGCCAGCTGTTACCCTGGGCCTGCCCTCTTGGCTTCCCCACAGAGTGTCTGATGTCTGCATGTGAACATTTAAGGGGGTCGTTCGTTGTCCTCACCTCCCTGCCTAGAATCAGGTGTATGGGATCACAAGAAACAAATTCAAGTCTCACAGCATTAGACTGGGGTCATACAACTGCTTCATCTGAATTAAAATGAATTTCACCGCATTGTCTTTCTGTTCATTTGTGGCCCCCTATATTTTCCATAATTCAGACTTTTTGGAAAAGGTTTATTTTTGTTTGTTTGTTTCACACAATGCTCACCAAGCTTCCCCTTGTCTATCAACGTGCCCCCACTGCCCCAACACCGGCACCATTTCTGTGTGAAACATTCTCCCTTTCCATGAAGATATTTTACTGATGTCTTGTGCCTCAGCTTCCCCAAGGGGGCTGGTCCTGAGAGATCAGACATGGGTTCAAGCAAGGACTAGGGTTATTTTGCTTCCTTTGCCCAGACTCACTTCCTCACGCTTCCTGAGGGAATACATCTGTGTTGGGTTTTTCTCTGTGTTTTATGCCTTTTGTCAAACATTGCCAACAGACTGTGAAGCAGCATAGCCTTCCTCTCAGAGGACCATGACTGCAGAATTCTTAAGCATCTCTGTGGCTCACCTGAAGATGCCTTTCATCTCCCAAGATTTCAGGAGCACACAACAATGTTTGGCTATGGGCCGAGGAGTGTTTTCCGGGCCTATATCAGTCCCATCCCTGTGCTTGCTTGTTTTATTTGCCCATCCATTCAGGAGATATTTATGGAGCACCTTCTGTGTACACTGACCTGGGAGCTTCCTATTCACATCTAGCGGGGCCTGCCTGCACAGGGAGCTGGGGTCCCATCAGCCCAGGCAATACCACTCCCAACCAGGCCATTCTCCCTGAGCCGACTTTTCTTTCTTTCTTTCTTTCTTTTTTTTTTCATTATTATACTTTAAGTTCTAGGGTACATATGCACAATGTGCAGATTTGTTACATATATATACATGTGCCATGTTGGTGTGCTGCACCCATTAACTCGTCATTTACATTAGGTATATCTCCTAATGCTATCCCTCCCC